GATGTATACACGTAATATAACATACACCTAACTTAGCCCAAACCCCAACCCAACGCTGAACAAATCTTGTTCGATGTATACACGTAATATAACATACACCTAACTTAGCCCAAACCCCAACCCAACGCTGAACAAATCTTGTTCGATGTATACACGTAATATAACATACACCTAACTTAGCCCAAACCCCAACCCAACGCTGAACAAATCTTGTTCGATGTATACACGTAATATAACATACACCTAACTTAGCCCAAACTCCAACCCAACGCTGAACAAATCTTGTTCGATATGTACGCGTATAACATAACATACACATAACTTAGCCCTAGCCCTAACCAAACGCTGAACAAATCTGGTTCGATATGTACACGTAACATAACATACACGTAACGCAACCCTAACCCTAACCCACATTATAACATTTAGACGGAGAAGGACATTTAGACGTTATAGTTATGTGTACAGGTAACGACACAGTAGAACATTAATTCGATTACGATAACGACAAAAATATAATCAATCAGACAACTATATATATATCAAGAGTAGATAATAGGAGATCTCCTATTATGTTCTCTTGATATATATCGTTCTCTCTCTCCCCCTCTCTCCCTTCTCTCTCGACCTCGGGATGTTGGGATGTGCTCACGCATACATGATTGTTTACATTTCTTGTTAACTACACTGTGTAAACTATACAGGAACAACGGTGTCACACTAGACTCAATATCTCGCCATACATCGCCACAACAACCGCGCACTTGTGCTCGCTCCCTCGACTGTAACCTTCTATATATGTAAGCCACGTGAGAAACTCTTGAGGAATAACTACACGTAGAGAGGCAAGAAGGAGGCCATCCAATCGGGCAATTTCTACCCCGTTTCGTACACAGGAACACAGTAAGTTTATCAGGTGTGGGAGCAGGAACGTATTCCGTTTAGCACTTGTTGTGGGTAGGAACATGTTCAGTTTGTCAGGTGTGGGAGTAGGAACATATTCCGTTTAGCAGGTGTAGGACGAGAAACACAATTGCGTTTATCAGGTGTGAAAGTAGTAACATGTTCAATTTAGCACGTGAATAGGTAGGAACACATTCAGTTTGATGGGTGTCGTAATAGGAGCAGGTTTGGGGCCAAAGAATGTCTTCCTGGTCGCCAATGACAGTTTGGACAAAGGGATGGATTGATGCCACGTCTGCAGCTGTAGCGGGGCGTGAGTGCGCGAGAAGGGCCCTTTCTAACACCATAAGAAACTGCTATAGCTAGAGCTGCTCGCATTTTCTTTACATATTAGTATTTAGAACTTCTATAGCCCGCAAAAATACGCGAGATAAATTTTAGAAACGAAATATTGAAAGTTCTTACGAATGCACGAATTTCACAGACAGTCATAAATATTAACTCGTTTGTTTTTGTTTTGGTTTACTCAGTGTCTGAATAAAACCAAATGGCCCCATTATACAATCTTACTACTTATATAACACAAGGTACTAATATACTAAAATATAATTAAACATTTAGTTACGATATAGATATGCTTTAATATGATCATACTGAGAGTTATACGTGTTAGTGCGTATAGCGCTTACCTGAAAAGATAATGCTTCTGGAGGGGTCCTGATGGCGAGATCCCGTAGCGTCTGACTAGCTGCTCCAAATGTGACCGGCTACGACCAAAACCTAAACAAACGCGAAGCGCAACGACATATAGTATTCCGACGGGCGAAGTTCAAGCGTTGTTATGTAATCCAAAGAGAAGCGCATCACAACATTTGCGTTAGCATCCGACACCGCGCGCCCACCCGAAAAGCTCGCGCAACTAGTTATATCTCTTTACGGGAGGTGGAGGAGGCAAGCCGCTGCACGGGGCCCGGCTGGGAATTTGGAAAGCGAGCGTGACAACACTCCGCCGTGCTTTGTGTAGGCGATCTCTTGACGATAAACGAGCACGACAAACGCTCTCGGCCGGGCTAATAGTTTTTTGTTAGTAATGGCCATCCATCCTCCGGTAAGCTCGTTTAACCACTTTTTCGCGAGAAATACTTTACATGGTCGGCGAGGCAGATCGGATGAGATGGTGACAGAAGAAGGGGAAACGAGAGGAGGTTTTGCCTCGCAGACATTATTGCCGCGTTTACTACTCACTTATGATGGATTGGAGGCGCATTTTAAACGAGACTTTAACTGCTGTTCGCGAGTCTCGTAGCTCGCGTAAACCCACCGTGTAAGTCCTATTGTTCCGTATTTCCATAGCGGGTTTGAACTGTAGGTACAAAAGTAGAAAAAACCCGAACCCAAAACTAGAATTGCCTAGAGCTGCTCGCTTAGCTGCTTCCATATTATTAGCATTATGTTATTCATGACCAGTCACGGGCGACTGAAAAAATTGTTCAAATTAAAGTTGCATGATTCACAAAAGCTAGCTCGCGCACGCGTTTAACGTGCGAAATGCAAATCGAATTTCGCAATCCTGAACTAAATAAAACGTTACGCTGCCCTGTTAAGGGCAGACATGTTATGACATATTTTATCTTAACCAAACTTAGGAAAATTTTATGTCTGTCTCGACCGTGACCAACGTTACCCCAGCCACGAACTCAGCCCTAACTTCAACCCAACGCTGAACAAATCTTGTTCGATGTATACACGTAATATAACATACACCTAACTTAGCCCAAACTCCAACCCAACGCTGAACAAATCTTGTTCGATGTATACACGTAATATAACAT